TGGGCTATTCACATATCCTATATCCTCGTATAACCCCAATATGACCGATTTGCGCAAACAAGGTCAAACAACTTATTTACCGCAACCATACAAAAGGCCACACCATCCTTGTCCTCCTATCTTCGATTTATCCACTTTGTTGCTCTTTAACTACATTTGAGAATTGTCATCAGGAAAATAATTCCAAATGCGTACGTGGATTGGCAAACTACCAATATGGCAACATATAGTATATAAGAATAATTGCTTATTGAATATCAAAAATAAAGCGGGATTTCAAACTTTTCTTTTAATTTTTTCTTTTATCATAATGCCCTTTATATTACATACTAATACTGATTTTATGGATATTTGAATAAATCAGTCACCTATGCGCTCCATCTAGTCCCTAGCCAAAAATAAGCAAAAACCTGTAGGTGGTTGGTAGTTTATAGCTACTTTCTTTTTGTACTTACGAATGTATAAAGTCTTATATGCAAATATTTAATACTCCAATGAATCTTGGGCCGAAAAAGCAAAGCCGTTTTAGTATTTACTCCCTAGTAATGTCTTTGAAATCTCTGTCTCTATTCAATAAGTTCTTGTTAGCTTTGTAATTGGAAATGAATACTATTGGTATAGATTAGTCCCTTGAACTTAGCTGCCAATCGTTGATTAGTTTACCTTCCTAATTGTTTCTAACTCTATCCTCTTTTAAAAAGTGAATTGTGTACTCGATTCGAAATTTGGTCATTTTAATAGCGTTACTTATTAAATAACCGAAGGCGAATAAAATAATGGGTCATGTGGTGGTGATATATAACTGAATTGAAGATAATTTAACATAAGTAAATTTATTATAATTTCTTCATTTCTGATTTCTGCCAGTTAGATTATGTTTATGAGCCACTAAGCATATATATATGCGAATAAAAGTTGGGTTTTGAGGAATCTCTCGTTTCATAATTGATGTGCTTACTTCCATTTCGAGTGAAAGTGTCTGGAGAAGAGATTCCAAGTTCGATCCCACCAGAAGGCAACGGCAGATTCCTCTTGACCAGCTGTCGATTAGCTTTACTGAAATATTCATGGTGAAGCTGTTTACGAGGTAACCTCCTTCGATTCCGGTGAAAAGGTATTAAACTTTCGTCCGTCATATGACGAACATCATCAGAGCAAGTTATCATCATGACAACCAAGCTAAGGAGTTTTCTTGACTCGTAAAACTTCAGTAAAGCCAATCGACAGCGGGTCAAGAGGAATCAGCCGTCGTCTGCTGGTCGAATCGACCTTCGAATCTCTTCACCAAACACTTTCACTCGAAATGGAAGTAAACACAACTAAATATATATCCATACATCATGCGACCACGATATGCGTGCTAGACTGAATGCATCTGGACTTAAGTATATAGACGCTTGTCTATCCTGATAAGTAAAGTACGTTATATGAGCAGTAATAATAAAATTTATTATCAAATAAGTGGCTTTAATTGATAATCCTTTGCCGAGAAATAAACATTTAATTCTCCGCTATAAGACAGGACCTAGCGTCAGTTCATCCTTGTTCATTCTTGGTTAAGTACTGGCTACATGGGCTAAACTATTGGCTTAGCATCAATACGAGTAGGACACAATTTGGTTTTGCGATGGAATTAAATAAAAGATCATTGTACTACATCCCTCGCTAAGAGCTAATAATGAAACAGGAATGAGCTAAATGCATCCGATAAAGTAATTTCCTAACCTGTGACTTGCAGTCAATACCATCCCAACGTTCTCGCTCATATTTCCTGTTTACTTCTTTATTCCAGACGCCTTGCCAGCTCTTCTAGGACAGGGAGGTACAACCAACTCGGGGGGCCCGGCCCGGTCATCACACAATTTTTCACATCATCCTGGCAACCAACACGCCGACACGGCGACTGTTCACAGCAGCACCAGCTCCAATTCGGTTGGCAACTCTGGCAACCTGCAAGCAGGACAAACCCAGCCATTACTCCCACAACCAGCTGGTCAAATGGCTCCGGGTAGCGGGTTTGCTGTTTTTCCAGTGAGTGTGTGGAGTCAGGAAAGAGTATTGCGCAAATTCACAGTTGACGGTTATCAAAATCAATTAATGTTTTGGCCACATCATTAAGCTGAAGCATTCATAACAGAGAATCTTATTGACTCGAGCATAGTGTTTCTGTTCGCTTGCCTGAGAGTAGATTTTCTCACTACATGTGAAGCTTATGCAAAGTAGTTTGCTTATCTCTTAGTCTAGAAATGTGGGCAAAATATAGATTGCATTCACATCCATTAGTTAAAATATTTGAAATGATTATGTTAATTACTTATAGACATAAAAAAATGTTAGCAGATTTAAATTAATACCAACTTTACTTAAGCGCTCCGGAATATAATAAAATCATTATTGCCAATAAAGTATTCAATAATTATCATTAATTCTAAATTATATCCTAGCCGGTTGCATAAAAGTACGAGTCTATGAGAAAAGTCACTATGGTTTTCACAGCTTCATCCTCATTTTTAGCGGTATGCAAGCCAACAAATTGGAGAATTTATTTATGCACTCCTGCATCGTGGCTAAAGGTCTCTCCCATGACTTATACAAATCTAGCTACTATCACTTTGTATGCATGAACGAAGTGAGCTGGAGAAAAATTTGTCGCTCTTCCTTTGTGATCTGTACTCTTTGATATGCTTGGCACTAGTAATCCTCAAATTCGCTAAATTAGCGCATTGAGTCAGCCAAGAAGCCTGAGAATTTCGGTATAAACGGTCTCATGTGCTTTACTTCAACTGTGCATGGTCATGCATTCCAGATTTAGATGACTGGTTTAGGCAATTAAGCGACACTTCGTTGGCCACTAGCTCCACTCGAAAAGAGACCTTCCAAATAAGTCTGAAGCGCATTATTCAGATCATAGCCGTGTACAAGTAGGCTAGTTCTTCATTCTAAGACGAAGTCTATCATAAAATTGTAGCGTAATTTTTTGAGTGTCGCTTAAGTTAACAAAGACTTTCAATAAAGGGTAGTCTTGATAATTCCATCCTGAATGAGGCTATCTGCAATTCTGAAGGTAGTTTCATTGCTTATAAAATATCTTGAAGCATAAATTTGGGCCGAAAGACGACTGACTCATGATGAGGCCGATTTCTTTTAGAAAGTTTATTTGCGATCGCCATTGCAATGGCCCTAACCTGGCAGATTTTGCCATCGTTATCACACGATACTATATTTCTCTCCTGATATATTCTCAGAATGATTGTGTCTTTCCAGCATAGTTCAAGTTGCCAATCAATCCTTACCTGTGTAATACCAATGATTAATAAATTATGAGGCAAATCTCTTTTTGACGCATATAGATACTATCTACCTCCTTCGAGTAGAAATTTAATTAAAGTTTTAGGAAAAAAGCAACTAGCATCCACTAATTAGCTTCACAACAGGAAAACTAATAAACTATTATTCGTTTATAAGCAAGTTTTCGAGCCTGCCATTAGATCATAAATATATGAGATGTATTTACCCAATTTATTTTAAGATTATAAAGGACTGGTTGTTGCATTTTCT